ATTTTAAAACAAAAATAAAATAACACCAGAGGTAAAACCAATCCAAACCTAGAATAAAATCAGAAAAATGTTAAAACACATAAGAAAATTAATGAACAGGTTAAACAAGGAGAGACTAAAGAAGTAGTTTTTTTAAGAGAAAAAAATATTAATGGCTATGTGTTTCAATGAGAGACACCAGGTATACTAAAATAAAGAAATGTGAAAATACACTCGTAACTTTGTGTTTGCTATAATTATGTTACTTAAATTATATGAAGATGTGGTATGCTAATTATAAAATAACATAAATGATGTGGGAATGTTCTCCCATTTTGGCATATTTTTTTCTTTGTTGTCATTTAAATGTCATTTTATAGCTACAGTGACAGTGCTCAAAAATATGCCTGCAAAGGAACAATGAAAAAAATACCAGGGAGCTCAAATGTTTTTGCAAATTACCCTGGTTAATTAGAAAAATCTGCACCCTTCCCAGTTCTTCTTCTCACGTGTCAGCTCTCATTAAATTAAAAAAATTCTCATTTCAAAGTTAAGAAGTCCTATGGTTAACAAAACGTTCAAACTGGGACCAAGTGGGCACATTGCTATGTTTCTGTATGATGTCATACCAAGCAGTGTGCAGCTGAATTTGAATCTGCAAGAAGTATGAATGATTTCTTAATAAGAAGTATCTGATCTAACGCTGATTTTTTCTCCACAGGCTAACTGTGCGGGGAACAGGTGGCCCTGCTTTCAATTATGGAGGGCTAGCATGCCAGTGTGAGGCCTGGATTAGTTCACCTTCTCATGGGGAATTTTCCTCGGTTGGGAATGAATTTATTATGGCTTCACACATGGAATAGAGCTCATGTCAGCTGAGGGCAGTGACACATCATATGATTCAAATTAACCTGCTGTGGACTGTTCTGCAGGGCTTAGATTGTGTATTAAAATGACGACATTTTAAAAACAGCTTGAAAGAAACCAGGATTGCTGAACTGCGATGGTTCCAATTTGTTCCAACTAATCTATCACCTGCTGGAGATATTATTCTAGTGGGTTTCTAGTAGCTGCTGTTTTCCAGGTTTCTCCAAGCCACTGACCTTGCTAATGGGTACAATTGTTGCCTCTGAAGGATGGAAGTGGGGCTGAGAGAGCTTTGAAGGGGTTTTTGATGTAGAAGTTGGGACCTACCATTTGCTCTAAGGAACTTATTAAGTAAGTAGAGGAAATAAGGGAATACTCAAGAACTTGAATTATTTTTCCAAAAACAAATGCCAAAAGAGCAGCATTTTTATCACCTTGTTTAGATAAAATAATCTCTGAAAGGCTGAATTCCATGTCTCTGGATCTATTTTGTTCATCAGTTTATTTTGTTCATTAGATTCAACATGTAAGTGAGATCATGTGATACTTGTCTTTTTCTGACTGGCTTATTTTGTTTACTTTTATTGTTATTGCAGCCTTAATTCAAGAGCAAGAAAAGAATAAATGAAAATATACTATTTTAAAGATGTAGCATAAAACTGTCTTTGGAAATGATACTGAAAAATATGTGCAATAGTTAAAAAACTAATGGTGGCAAATGATTATTTGCAATACTAAAAAAAGCATTTCCATTTTTTTTCAGGAGAAAATAGTATTAGGGAATATTGTAAAGTTGAAATTTGTCCCCCCTGTCTCAACATAAATAATATTCCTTTTAATATACTATTACCTAAAATCTGGACAAAATATAATTTTCTTGAGTGGCTAAAAATCTAAAAATTAATACATCCGTAAGGCAAGACATGCTTTAATCTATCCTATTATTCCTATTGATCTCTAAATTAGTATAGAGTGGCAATCTGGCTGTGTAGTCAGAGAATATAATTATTCTATAGAATAATATATATATACTAGATTCGCCCTGTGCACGAATCTGTGCGCCAGTAGCTCACCAGTAGCTCGCTGCAGCCCTCCAGTAGCTCTCCGCCTGCTGTCCCGCCCTCCTGCACCTCCTCCCCCCCCCAAAGCTTGCTTCCCTGCTTCCTCTTGTAGCTCTCCATGTCCCGCTTGTAGCTCACTGCCCCACCCTCCTGCTGATCTGTGATCCGGTCGTTACGTGGTCGGTCAATTACGCTTCACGGAGTAACGACCATTTGCATATTACATCTTTATTATATAGGATATACTTACATATACTTTAAATAACAGTTATGGTTAAGGAACTTTCTATCTAAGAGTAAATTCTGGAGCAGTTTAAGTTTGCTGGGTTAGTGCTTTAGTGGAACCTGCACAGCTGATATGTCATTCAAACTAATCTCCCCTCAATTTACAAAAGAGAAGCACTCTTGATTAAAAGAAACTTAGAAGAACTGGACTCTTAGACTATGAAGAACTTTAACCATTCACTGAACATTGTTTTTAATTTTTCATAAAAAAGTACCATTTAAAAAAACGACTCATCATTCTCTTCTCCTGTGCCCCCAAGTATCTGCAGATTGGCCCTCAATATTTGTAACTGATGGTATTAAGAAAATCATAGACATGCATATTTTTCTTTCATGTATGAGTCATATAAAATCTTGGTACAAAAAGTGGAGTCTCCAGAGACCCCGTGGTCGGCAAACTGTGGCTCGCGAGCCACATGCGGCTCTTTGGCCCCTTGAGTGTGGCTCTTCCTAAGCCTTAGGAGTACCCTAATTAAGTTAATAACAATGTACCTACCTATATAGTTTAAGTTTAAAAAATTTGGCTCTCAAAAGAAATTTCAATCATTGTACTGTTGATATTTGGCTCTGTTGACTAATGAGTTTGCCGACCGCTGCTCCAGACCAATAGCACCCACTTACTTGGGAGCCTGTAAGCAATGCAGAATTTCATCAGTACCTTCTAGGACTATTAAATTACATTTTTATTTTAACAAGCTCCCCAGAGATACTTCAAATGCACACTCAGGTCTGAGAAGCACTGCTGTAAAATAACTATTTCAATTCATTTATTTAGAAGTTTGAATCTCCAGATAGATTATCACTATTACTGAATGAACAAAAGATTAGAAATGGCATATATGTAATTTCCAATTTAAAAAAGTATAGGAAACATAAAGCAACTATTTTTAAAAATCACATTCCTACACAGTCATTTTAAATTCTAGAATTATAAACACATAATTTTTGATTCATTCATTGACATTCTTCTTAACATTCAATTTATTTGATTGTCATGAAAATATGGTAAACAATTTTCCACTGACTTGCAGATCCCATTCAAATCAATCAAATGTAAACTAGAAGAGAACTTTTTAGCCAGATTGAAAGACTGCCTAAAAACAAAAGAAATCTGATACCATGAAAGAGAAATAAGAGGTAAACCCTAGTCTCCCAGTTACTTTTCCATTAACTAACCATATGATCTTACCCTATTTTATCCACTCTAACATGTTCAGTTTTTTTACATGTGACCAATTCTAAGTCAGAAAGTGTCTTGCAACTGATGTAATAAGAAAGAGCTGTATCATAGTTTAAACAGTAGATATTTTTTCTTTTTCCTTAGTGGTAATATAAAATGGTTTTTCCCCCTACAACTGGTGGTGGCTTAGATTCAATGAAGTATGGTACTTGACACTCACTAATCAAGTATTAAGACTCACACTGCTCCCAATCCAGCCATCACCTTACCCCAAAAGCTTCTTCCACTTTAATGACTCCCTTAGCCTTCATCATCAGCTTCTAGCTTTCCTCTGCGTCTTTAGAACCATATCTAGCTACTTATAATGATGAGAAATAGTGCTGCATATGTCCACTCTTCATGTACCATCAATAGAGAAACGGGGCCGCAGGGAGAGGCCAGTGGTGGTGGTTTCAGGCTCCGTTTATTGCAGACACAATGACAGGCCACCTTCTCCATCCTCATTGGTGGATGCTAAGGGCCTTGGCTGCCGCAGCACACAAACTTAACCAGGTCCACACAGCTATACTTTCACTCATCAAAATGCATACCTTTCAGAGTATTGCTAGGGATCTTAAGACAATGTAAAAGTATTGTTTTAGATTCTTAATGAATAAACTAATCTTCTTTTGAGGACCAATATGTTCTGAAGCACTGTGAGTACAAATTAACAAGAGGAAAACTGAAATGTAGTACTTTCTGTTAAATAAATAGCTAAAATTTCACTGGGATGAGGAAAGAATGATAAAAAGAAAAGGAGGCAGAGCATGAGAAGGTAGAAGAAAGAGTAGGAAAGAGAAAGAGGAGGAGGAGCATATGGGGAAGACAGAAGAACTTTAGTTATGGTAAAATTAGAATAGTACAGAAGCGATCTAGGTCTTTGGAGGCATAAAAACAGGGTTTAAATGGATCGTCTGCCACTATGACCTTGGGCAATTTACATCACTTTCCCTTAGTATAAAATTGGGATAATTATAGTGCCCACTCCTTGCGTTATATGAGTGTGTAAAACACTTAGTGCCTGGATGTGATAAGCATTCAATATATTTTTATATCTGTGTCTCTTTAAAACTGAGTATTAATATATTTCAAGTACTTTGCTAAGCTTTTGAAATAAATGAATTTATGTATCTAACCAAATCTGTGTATACTCTGTATACTTATGTATGTATATCATGTATGTTATCCACCCATCCATCAACTCACCCACACACCTACCCACCCACCCATCTACCTACCTATCCATCTATTTTATTCTTTTCACTTACAGGCAAGGGGATCAAATGCTTAGGGTCACAGAGTTAATTAGTAGAAAAGATAGAAATAAAATCTTGGGTCTTTGGCCTCCAGTCAATACTCTTTAATTGTTAACTACATTATGTCAGACTAAAGGTAAGTTTTAATGCATATTAATATTTGCCGTTTGACCTCTATAATGGGCAGCCTGAGAACAGCACACTTCTGGAAAACTAATGAACTATTCATTTTCGGCACCGAATATTAAGATTACTAACAAACCCTATGTACATGTTCATATACTCCCATGAAAAAAAAAAGAGTACATGCATTTTGTATTATGACTTTCTTACCTGGTCCATTAAGAAAGTCTTTAATTTGTAGCATTACCAGGGAAGGTGGAATACCACTTTTGCTGTCTATTTCTCCAGGCACCGTCTGCAGCCAAACTGTGCAGTAATCAAGGGCTTCAGGCAGAGTCTTCCCAGGATCTGAAGTGACAAAATTGAAACGAAAAATGTCAATTACATCACCAACGTCTCATTTTGGTGCCAGACTCAGCTGACAGAGAGGGGGGAAACCTGGTTAATTATTTATGTAACCTTCATTGGTTCATCTGTATACATAGAGAATACTCATTTGTAACACAAGTGTTTGCATGGAGAAAGAGCAGCTCTCTTTGCACAAGGTGAAAGGATAAAACCATGTTTTCCAGAACCAGGCCCAAAGGAAAAGACATTTCAAATCTTAACTAATACCATCTTTGAGTGAAGGTAAAGTTTCTGTACGCTGAGCTGCTGACCGTTAACAGTTGTATTTTTTTTTTTAAACGGGATGTTGGAAACAAATTAAAGAAAAAGTGCAACCTTTTCAGCTTAAAAAAGCATCTACATGTTCAAAGCAGCAGTGGATTAGTACTACTTAAGGGTTATTTGATCTGTTTCAGAGTGTTACTGACATTACAATCACTTTTTACTGCGAGGCTTTTGAAGTTAACTTCAGTAGCTTTCCCATAACCTTCTTTAATGATAAAAATTGGTCGATCTTTTAATAGTCCCAATTATAACTAAAATTGGACTTTTTCTGGTTTAAGTTTTTCTATTAAGTACAGTGTATTTTTTAAAAACTTTTTTCTCCTTAATATTGCATATAGTTTTTAAAAGCATTTTTTTTTTTTTTAGCAAACGGATGGCAAACGGAATTTTCTTTTTAATGTTTAGCAAGCCAGTTTTTATTGAAATAGCTCTTTAAATAAAAACAACTGCTGTGTCTTGGCATACAATGCAGTAGGCTTTTTAAAAACTTCTAAATATTCACAGTTTTTCTTTAGTTTCAAGATTGTTTTACTCTCTGTGTTTTAATGGCCTCTGAATGTCAATTTTATAGGGATGTTCTTGCCATAGAGTCCATCTATTCCATTTTCAGTTGATTTGAAATGTGTTATTAAAGTGTTATTTATTTTAGGTTTTATTGATTGGATGGCTTTCAAGAATAGCATTTACATACAGTGTATTATATTCAACATATGGCTATACAGTATTACTGTCATATGTGAACTGGGCATATAAATTCTGCCTTGGAATTTGTATTTCCTGACCTTATCATGTGATCCTTATGAAATTTGGCATATGAACCTTTATGTGATTTCAAAGAAAATACTGAAAGCAATTGATCGTGACGTTAGATCTATGTGGTAAAGATCAAACACTAAACTAGTGCATTCTTCTCTTTTTATATGATCAGTGAATTTAAAGCAGTGAGAATATGCATAGTAGATCCATTACATAGTAACACTATACTATTCTCTCTTTTAAATATAATGGTCAAGTCTGGGGAAAGGATGTCAAATGTCTGTTGTTGGGAGGATCTACAATGAGTCTGGAGGAGCTATGGACCTGCCAGGACCTGAGTGTCTATTTCTAGGGCCTCGCCCATGTAGCCATCAAGAAGCTGTTATTATGAAGTAAGTGGTACTGTGTCAGACCTATACAAGACATAATTCTTTATTTTGAAGAAAACACAATCAAGAGAGAGAACAATAATCTAACAGAGAAAACAGAAATCAGATGTAAGTTTGTAACTAACTAAATAATGAACAGAGATGAATTCAATTGATGTAGAAATATTATGTGTAAGAAACTGGCAAGTAAAACTCATACTGTTAAGTAAAACAAGCTATAGGAATCAGATATCCAAACTTGTCTGAGAGACAAGGGATAACATTAATATAGAGCATTCATATAAACAACAGATATTAATAGAAAAATGGGTAGAGGATAGATAAGCAATTATTAAATGAAGAAAATTAATAAATAAACAACAATAAACATTTAAAAATATAAACATTAAGAGAAATTCAATCTTAGCAATAATCAAAGAAAATATTTTTTAGTAAGTAGGCCTATCAGATAGGCCAAGACTAAAAAAAATCGATAATGTCTGTGTAATACACATATATGTGCGATAGAAAACAGAAAGCATGAAACAAACAAAAAACCTTATGGACACAGACAACAGTATGGTGGTTACTAGAGAGGAAGGGGGAAGAATCTTTAGGATGATCCTAAGCACATATATGAACCTAGAATTTATTCAGAGCTGAAAAAAATAGGACAACACAGCATTTATAAAAATTAAAATAAAGGGGAGAGAAAAAAGCACTTCAAGGTTATGTGATGTCCTGCCTTCATCAAGGTATAGACTGGGGGAACAGCCAAGTATGATAATGTGAGTGAGCGTTTTACAAGCAGGGGAGGTGGGCCTCATGCAGATTGCCTCTCTTTCAGTAGAAGTTGGAGGACCTGCATCTGGCACCCAGCCTAGGAATCTGCATTAGGGCAATTACAGGACGATATGACTTAGACAGAAAATAAACAAACTGGCAATAGACTAGGAATAAAGAAAATGGAAAAGTCTAGGAAATGTATACAAGGAAGCCAAAATTTCAATGACTATTACCCAACAAAATATTACTGGCTTAATGATATTGTTGGTTTAATTACTACACAACCAGTTTAGAAGTACAGCTGTACTTACAGGGCTGATAGAAAAGAACTGAAATTAGGACCATCCAGGAAAGTAAAGGTTGCATGGTTGATGAATACTGAATGTTTGACAAGGCTGGTGGCCACTCTCCAATTTTTGGTTAAAATCTCCACTCTGAATATTCCTGTAGTCATCGTGGTTATAGGAAGCAGCAGTAGTAAGAGAAAGATATGTCAAAATCCCAGTCACTGTTTAGTCCCTTATACTCTAATGGCTAGATAATGAGGGTATGACTACTAGACTTCCGTTACTGTCTTCAATTTAACTTCTGAATTCCATTATCAGGCCTAGAAAATAGGATTCGTATTACACATCCCTCAGGGTCAATATAGCTGGGAAAGCACCAGATAAACTAAGATTAAAGGAGCCTGTGAATATAATATAAATGGAGTGACAAATAGGGAGACTGTTTCGCTGGAAGCTCCTTCAGACTTTGCTAGTCTTCTTTTCATACTTTGCAAACACATATTTATTTGAATACAGGAAGCTCTTAAAATTAATAAGCTTCTCCTAATGTTGATGAGCACATTTATCTCTAAGCCTAAAAAGTAGGAGAAAACCACATCTTATTGGGAGTAACAGACTGTGGGAAATGGGTCAGAAAAATGACAAATTGCTCATAGCCATAAATCTTGTTCAAAGTCAGCTAGAATTCACTTCAATAAGAAAAACAAATATTATAACTTATAATATTTGTTTTTCTTCTGGGTTGACCTGGCCTCCAAAAAAAAAGATAGTTCATCATATCCTGCCACAAGAAACAACCAAAGATAAGATTCAGAAAGTCTCAAGTCCATTTCCAGATGGATCAGGTATTGTTGGCTTTCACAGATAGGTGCGTCAGATTGTATTCTTCATGCTTGCAGATTACTTTGTTCTTCTTCCCAAAACCTTCATCTTACTTAACTGCTTGGAAGGTCTTCCTCTGAATCTGATTCTTTAGAGCTGCTCATTATTATTATTTTTAACCCCTAGCAAATATTCAGAGTTAAGTATGTCTTTGCTTAACATTTGAATTAATAAAATATAATGTGACTCATTGTGCCCAACTCAAAACAAAACTTTGAAAATGAACTAGTTTATTTTCTTTGCAATCTTATACTTAACATAAAATTTTATTTTCCACACTGATACAGAATAGCTGAATGCTACAGATTTTGTCGGCTTTATTATTAACTCTGCTTTGTTCTACTATGTGGCAGGATAATCCTTTTCCATAACTAGATTGAAAGTTTACTAAGGTGCCAATGAGAAGACATTTCCCCACAGATTTTAGTGGTAATTTTCTCATTTTAAGTTTGATATAACACTGAATAGATAATGAAGTCCAATTACTTTTACACCAGATACTTCTAAGTGTTACCTACCACGCAGACAAAAAGTTTTAAATTCTTTTTCCAGGTGAATAAAGAACTTTGAACTTTAAAAAGCCTAGTGCCATAAGAATCTGTTCATTTGAAAGCTACATATCATTATAAAGCGGACTAGAGTGAGCTCTACACCAACATAATTTTCTCCCTCATTTGCCCCTTTCTCACAGTAACTTGATTAACCACAGGTTTATAAGGAGTTGATACTCCGTGCCTCTGTCTGCCTGCTCTTGGGCACTTTTGTGTTCAAGAACCTCTCTACGAGTGGATTGGTTAACACGTTAAGTGCCCAGCCTGTTTTGTCTTCCGGACGGAAAGTATAGTGTCAGTCATTGGTGACTGACTGGGTGCTTAATGTGTTAAGGACGGGCAGGAAGAGAGGTTAGCCCAATAGTTATTTTCTCTGACAGTTCCAGGCAAAGTTTCTATTGTAGAAAATGCAAGAAACTATAGTCACAATAATGGTTTTTGATCCTTGGATTTAATTTTCACATGATACTCTTGTCTTTTACATTTCTGTGAAAAATTGGTGCTAACTTAGATGTCAAGAAAACAGAATTTTCCTATGGTGGAGAGTTCTTGCAACCTGGTGTTTCTGGAAAAAATCTTAATTGAAATTTGGGGGATGAGTCTGAAAAATAAACTTCTGATTAATTGGGTTGTGGTGTGCCTCATTTTAACCATGTTTTCTTCCCCAGGTGAATGGTTTGTCATCTTACTCCTGGTATGAGCATCTTGCTGTATTAAACAGATCTTGCTGCTGCTTGCAATCCTGGGTAATAAAATCTTGCGCAATATTATCAACAACTTTTGGAATTACATCATGCTTTAATTTCCAATCCTATGGATGCTAATGTTAGCATTTCGATGATATATAATTAAAACTGTTCCCTAAACTACTATCGCAGATTTACATTTCAGTAGTTTTCTGCTTTGATGTTTTATAGCACTGAGTTTTCTTTCTGTTAGTAGAGGATAAAAATATCGCAAATTCATCAGAAGCATAAAATTAATGCTTATATGATGCAGCACTGCAAATAGCCTCAAGATTTACTTGTCTCCATTTTATTGGTTCT